CCACAAACATTCTTGAATCTTCCTGAGTACATACTTGCCTTTCTGTTAAAATTTCAATATGTGTTATGGCCTTGTTAATCACAGAGCCAGAATCTGAAAGTATAGGGGACATTCTGGCTCGTGGAGACAAGGATTTTTTTTTCCTTGTATCTGCAACCCTGAAGCGTTTTTATAAACTGGCATATTGGGTAAAAACCCTAATAGACAGACATATAAAAATACAGCGGCTTGAGTTGAATTGGAAGGTCCCCTCCATTGTATTCACGTAGAGTTCTGTATGGTTGGTACCTCTTCTGGGTGGTGCATAAAATGGCACCTGCTCTTGGGCTTGACCCTGACCCTTTTGAGTATTCATGGAGAAAACTGTACAACCTTGTGGCTCCTTCACATACAAGAGGGAGAGCCACTAACTCCAGACTCACTTCTTTATTTTACCCAAGGTGGGAATAAGTGAATTATTTGAGGCAGGCATTCTCAAAAAGTCTTGCTCTACACACATACAAAACAAGATATAATACAATATACAAACAGATATAAATATATTTGTGGTATCAAAATCTAATGGGGTGTTGATTAGGAAAAAAATATTTCAAATGTCTTCTTGGAAAGTGGTAGTGAAAAAACAAAAAGGTTCTTTGCTTGACACATAAAATGTGATCTCATAGAAGGAAAGTGCAGCAAGAAAGCCAGTTGATTGGAGACATTGGCTTCATGGAGACACCAGAGAGAAGAAATGTGCCCATGGGTCTGCTAGAATAAATACAATGAGTGGATTGTATATGTCTGAACTGAGTAAGCAACATGGAGCAAATAGCTTTATTCACCTTTACCATTTCCTTCAAAGTGTTTCATCCTAGGGATTCTTTTTTTTTTTTTAAGATTTTGTTTATTCATGAGAGAGAGAGAGAGAGAGAGAGAGGCAGAGACACAGGCAGAGGGAGAAGCAAGCTTCACGCAGGGAGCTCGACGTGGGACTCGATCCTAGGACTCCAGGATCATGTCCTGGGCCGAAGGCGGCGCCAAATCGCTGAGCCACCCAGGCTGCCCTTAGGGATTCTTGTCCTAACCCTTTTTTTTTTTTTCTTGTCCTAACCCTTAAACAATCTTGACCATATCCTATTATTTTCCAGACCTTTCCAGTTTTGAGAGAAAGTCTCATTTTTGTAATCAAGTCTCATTTTCTGGCATGAAAAAAGTCTCATTCAGATTCAGATTTAGAATTAATACTAGACTTCTCTTCTTCACCCAGTCTCTACCTCAGAGACTTGCAGAAGAGAAGCGTGTATGACTTGACTCTTCTTCCATCTGCCTCCTTCTTTTCCCACTTTGCATCTTACAGATTTAGAGCACATGGGGGAAGAATTTAAAGAAGGTAGGGATACTGACTGGTTCACTGAACTAGGCTTGCTATGTCAGGGTTGTCTTATGTTGGCAGGTGGTCAGAGCTGGCTTTGTGACAGGTGTTTTTTGGTTTTTTAAAGATTTATTTATTTGAGAGAACGAGAGAGCATGAGTGGAGAGAGGCATAGAGAGGAAGAAGCAGGCTCCCACTGAGGAGGGGGAGCCCCACGTGGAACTCAATGCCAGGACCCTGGGATCATGACCTGAGCCGAAGGCAGACACTTCACCAAGTGAGCCACCCGGGTGCCCCTGTGGCAGGTGTTTGAGTGTAGAATGGTGGTCTGTTGGAGAGTTGCCAGTGGGAGTTCTTGGAGGGACCCGTGGGGTCCTCAGCACCTCACAACTGCCTGTTACAAACAAGCCTTACCTCACGTTGACCTTTCACACCCCTTACCAAGTGTTCCTCCACAGGCTCCTACCACTGGAGCTCTCTGGGTTTGTACCAATTGAACATATTAACTTCAAGACAGAAAAAAGCCTGGTGCCCTTTTTCATCATTCATGTAACCTAAGGAAAAACATATTCTTCTCACCAAGTTGAGGGAGGTAGACAACTTCACCCAGGCAGTATCTCCTTGCTATTGGCTCTCCAGAACTGCTCTGGCCCTCAGAACTTTCCAGGTCATCAGCAAGTGTTACCTCCGTGTTCATGTAGATCCTAAATTCTCAGGGACACAGGCAAGGCTCCCAAGAACTTTCAACACACATGGCCATGCTCAAATGGCAGGAACAGAAATCAAGTTCCCGCAAATCGGCAAGCATGCAGCCAAGAGACAGCATGCCTGTTGTCCCTCAGCCTCCAGATTTGTTGGAATCACCTTCCAAAGGTGACTGGGTGAATGAAATACCAGAGGCATGTCCTCCTGACCTAGTGCCACCAGCTGTGTATTAGGGTAATAACCCATTATAAGCAAACATTCCCTGTGGTGACCAAATTCCCTTGAATTTCCACCTTTCTCTTTTTTTATGGGCTAGAAGTGGATAAGTGGGAGGTTGTCCCGGGTCTGCCATCTGTATTGTAAATGACGAAGGAATGTGTCCTTCCTGACTACTGCGCTCAGCCCCATTCAGCTTGCTGATGCGATGATGCTGGCATGTTGCCAAGGCCTGTTTTTCATGACAAGGTTTGGGTGAAGGCATTTAACTGCAGTAACTGAAATATATTTTCACTCTCATTTAATTATTGAGGCCAACTGACTACACTATGAATTTTAAAATCCAGTTTTTAAAAGCCTTCATTATGCCACCTGGAAGCATTTGAGTTCACAGAGCTAATAAATTCTAAATGAGTGTAATAAAACCCAACTATGCCCCAACTAAGTAAATTTCTTTTTTAAATTGTTTAATGGATCAGGTGAGTCTTTTTCAGTGGGAATAAAAATGCTGTTTGTCATGCAAAATACGTTAAGATTCCACTCAAAGTAGCCAGGAAGTAGAAGTAGAACTGCCAGTACAAGGCCTAAGGAAGGTCATGAGCTTCAGATGTCTGGTCTCAGAACTCGAGTTCCATCCGTTTTTCTTCAAGCCAGCATGTTCTTAAGAAGCCAGCTCCTCTCGGCTACTCCGTGATCCCTTTGACATTGGCTGCCTCTTCCTGTCCCCAGCCTCAGCTCTCTCAGTACTGTCAGCAAAGCTCTCCTCAACAGGACCCATCCCCTCAGAGCCACCCGAGACCTGTTGTTTGCACAACAGCCTTTACACTGGTGCACAGAGGCTATTTGCATTTCTCGTAGGGCTTCTTCCAGAAGACATCATGTTCCAAGGGCAGCAGAACTACCTCCGAGAGACCTCCAGTCCGAAAGTGAGGACACCTGAATAGAGGATTCTAGGCATATTACCAGGGAGATACTTGCAGAGGGCTTTCCTCAGGGACCCTCAAGGCCCATCACGGAATGGAATCTAAATCTTTCTTTGCTGTCGTCTGGTCCCAGATGTACCATTTGGATTCTTTTTTCCCTTTTTATCCTTAGGTGTTTTGTTTTGTTTTGTTTCTTAATCTGACTCTAATTATTGAGCTTGTTGATCATGCAGCAGGGTGCAATTTCCTTCTGTGTATAGCCTCATTTGTTTATTTTGGAAGAAAGAAGCTTATTTATTTAATTTTTGGTGGCCTGAAAGGTTCCAGAGGAAAAAATGGGTTGACTTTGGTTCGTTGCTCAGATCTCCCTGCTGTAAGAAAAAAGGAGAGTTGAGTTCAAGATGGTAGTAACATACAGATTTTGTACCCTCACGGGGGGCTCCTGTCACACATACGGTCCTCTAAAGGGGAACTGTTTTCCTTGCACAGTGTGAAATGGTTCTCTGAGATGGAAATTCTTCTGCAGACACAGCCAGTTATCTAAGATCCAGGAAGCACAACCTTCTTTTTTTCTAATTTACAAAATGGAGGTGTGGACTGGCTGCTGCAGAGTTGTTCACTCCTTGCGTAGTTATCGTCCACTGCATCATCTGTCCCAATGTCCAGGTGGACAAATCACTCTCTTATTTGTTCCTTGGTCTCTTCGTTGCAATAACAGCTTACATTATCTGAACTGTCTTATAAGCTCATTCCTGATAAAACCTACACAAAACTGTATTCCAGGGAATCAGTTCTTGAATTAGCAGGATGCTTTTTTAGAGTGTAGACAAGCTGACTTTTCCTAATGGAGACCCATATGCACAAAGGGAGCCTCTGAATCTCATTGCAGAAGGTCTGCTGGAATAAGATGTATCATAGAAAGATGATTTGCATATGTTCCTTTTTTTTCTCTGTTACTTATTTCATATTAAACTCTATGTGTTTGGTATTTCCAGAAGTAAAGGCCACAAAAAAGTACAATTTTAAGGAGATAGATTTGTTACAGATGGGCAGAAGGGAAGCAGACATTTTCTTTCATGAACAAGACATTTTGCTTGCAAATAAAGAGTGGTTCTCCTTTTTCTGATGGAAAGAAAAAAGAAGAAAGAAATACATAGAACGGCCAAACTGCTGTCACCCACCCAAGGCTTGGAGAATGCCTCCCGGGACTGGGAGTGAGGTGGCCACACAGCAACCAGCCCTGTGCCCTGGACCACAGAGAGGAGCACTTGGCGGGCCCTGAATATGGGCTCTTCAGCGCTCTCATAAATCAAACCAGATTTGCCTGAGATTGGGCATGGGAGAGGCCACGCTCAAACAGACCTACTTGAGAGCGTATTTTCTAGGATTGAATCACTGCAGCTTGAACATATTCTTAAACGTAAACGTCCAATTAGGCAGAATCTGCTTTACATTGTTCTAATTAGCAACCTGCCAAGCTTGATTGTTGATAGAATAAATGGGTCATCTATGTTTCATTGAAGTTTTTCTTTTTTTAATGAGTGGTTGGGGTGTGTGTGTGTGTGTTTCACTGTTATTTTGTTTTTATTTCTTCAGTGTTTCTGGCAAAGGGTGTTGCCTGCAAATTGCAAATGGTTCCCATCAGCAGACCTCTGCTAATTTTAGAAATGTTCTTCAGAGGGACTATTTAAACAGGTGAATTTCCATGTGAAGGAAGAGACTCTTGCGCAAATCTTGGTCCTTAACCTAAAATGAATAGAGGTAAACTGCTGCTAAGTCTTTTTCATTTTTCTATTTTTCAGGTATCCTGGCATGAACAGAGTTTTCTGCCCCCAGTCTTTGGAAAGTTTCACAGGCTGGGCACCTCTCCTCCACAGCCAACAATGATGTTTTGTGTCTTCATCCCGGCTAAAGGGCCTGGCACACAAACAGCCCAGCCTATTCATTCCTGGAGCAATTTTACATATGCGAGACCGAAGCCAAGATGAATGTCTTCTTCCCGATGTGCTCAATTCAACCACATTCTGGTAAGTGCAAACACTGAGATTGTTCAGATGAGAAGTGGGGTTTGGACACATGTTCCTGATCGATAAGTCTGCCCTTGCTCACAGAGCTTCCTCTTTGTTGCAACCCAATCATCCAAATAGATATTTAATAGAAAGGCCATTTGTTCTGTCCAACTGGAGTTCCTCCAGTGGGGCAGAGATGGCGTCACCTGCCCGGGGGGTCATGTTGGCTCCCTCCTGGGGCAGGGCCACTGCCAAGCCTAACAGAATCCTCACATTGACTCCCCGACTCCCCGGCCAGCAACCTCAGCCTGGCGTCTCACTGGAAAGGGAACTCGAGACCCCTGCATTTTCACCGGCCAGACATTCTGAATAAGCTCTATGTCCTCGGTGCTGGCACTTCTTCATAGAGTCCTTTGAGAGTTTGAATAGGGGTGCTGGAGAAGCGTCTCTTTCATTTGCCGCGAACAGGGAGGTTCTGCAAATGCGTGTCACCGCAGGTGCACAGGTGGGAGCCTACGCAACGTGCAGCCTGGGAGGTGGGGCTAGGGCCACACCGGTGACACATGAGCAGCGGCAGTAGGTCCAGGAGGCAAGAAGTGGCTCTGTGACACAGGCTGGAGGGGTGCCAATGGCAGGGTCACCTCCCAGGTGTCACGCAGGGAACCAGAAAGAGCCCAAGCAGGTTATGGTAGCCCTGCAATCGAATGATTTCACACAGCACTGTCTCTGAAGCACCTGGTGACTCACCCTGGCTTCTGTTGCCTCGTAGCGCAAAACTTCAAAAATCACATCCAGTGCCTGATGTGTATCGTGGGATTTTTCCTTTCCAATTTCTTCTTTGGCGATTTAGTAACTTATACTTTGATGTGTTCCCTTGTTCCAACAATACTGACACCTCATTCTACTTAAATTGTGCTTTACTGCACAAATCTTGGTCATCCAACTTGGTGTTCCAATATAACTTTACTTACATTCGGGATCCCACTTAAATAATGTTTTCCTCCAAAAGTTATCAGCAAATGAAATGTGTATCTATCCTGATGGTATAATATATTAAAATGCTAATTGGAGAATTTTCATCTGGACCTTCATTTAGTAAATACTATACAGAAAAGAAGTACTTGATTGATGCAGAAGGAGACTGACTAATGAAGTCTCTTGCTATGTTTTTCTCTGAAATAAGATGCACTATGAATGTACAAAAACACGATTTACTGCTTTTAAATTACTTACATCAGGGGTGGGAAACGGCTTTCATTCGGAGAGCAGCTCTCATGCAGTGGGCTAGGTGTAGTTCTGCCTCTTTGAGTCTGGTGCACAGCACTGTTATACAAGATGCAAGGACTCGTTGCATGCAACTAGGGTCCTCTCCTGGTTCCCCAACCAGTGTACGCTGCTGCCCACTGTATAGGGCTCAGTATGCTGTTCATGTAAAGGGTCAGAGAGCAAATAGCTTGGGCTTTGTGAGCCATAGAGTCTCGATTTCAGCTCCCAAACTCTGTTGTCCTAGTAAGTAAGCATCTAGAAATATATACCGTATAAAACAAACCATCAGTGGCTGTGCTCCAGTAAACCTTTATTTACAAAACTCAAGGGGGCCCATATCATAGTTATCTGTCTCCGACGTGATACCATTATTTCTTTTTAAAACAATGGACTTCTCTGTTTGCCCTCCACTCTGTGCATACTTCCTGTCTTTGCAGTATGCTGCACCATGGAGAAGGGGTCTTTGTCCTCTCACAATGTTCCTCAGAAATTCCAAAATAGGAAGTCACCTTCATAAGTTTGTGTTGTCACCATACTTTGTGACGGGGTCAGTCTTGTTGTGTCAGACATTCATTATCCTGGTCAAAAGTGCCTATTACTGAAGATGGTACTGTGGTTTGATTGGAGGAGGAAGGGCTTTGGGCGTGATCCTTGGAGAGATCAGAGAATGAGGACCCCATGAAAATGTGTGTTGATTGCAAACTCAGAGTGAACAAATCAGACCCAGAAAGAGAATCATGAGGAGTGGCTACAGTTGGAGTGGAGTTCTGAAAGGAAAAGAGGAAAGATGTTTCATGCCTGCAGTATTTGGGAGAGAGAAAACACAGTCATTTCTATCCATGGTAATGCTCAGAAGTGCTGCCTCTGGAGCCCCCTTTGATGTGAATAAACACAGTTTTGTAAATTCACATAATTCAGGGAGGAATTTCCATCAGCCATATTCCTGCTTACAAGGTGTGCATTTTGAGACTTAAGCTTTTGCAGAAAATAAACCCTCTCTGCCAGAGTAACATGAAGTGGCTGACAGCGTTCTCTCTGTATCACGGGTCCCTCTCCTCCAATGGCAGGAGGGCCTTCCTTCTGGTTTATGAGGCTTGATGCTCAAATATCTAATATTCAAATAGATGTGGAATCAGTCAAGAGGAAAGCACGTCCAGCCGTCCTTTGTGTCTAAACATGGAATGGCTTTGAGGAGTTCCTTCATTTTCCTTCCATGATCTCTCCTCATTGTTATCAAATAATGTTGCTCTTTCTTTCCATTGATTCCTTTCAGCTTTTACATCCATCCGCCAACAACCTAGTATTCTTGGTAGCACACAAATCTCCTTTCATTTAATTCCAGTAAGTAGCAAAAATTCTGTGGTTCATGTTTTGTGAGTACTTGGTAAGTGCTGGGTGATGCCTTGAGTATGTTCATGAACTATCTCTTTTAATTTTCTCTGTATAAATACAGAATGGGTCCTGTAATAATTATTGTACAAACAAGGGCAGCAGATTGCTCAGCGTCACTGATTTGAATCAAGGACTTGAGTCAGAACAGTTTGAACCAGTCAGAACCCAGAGCTGTAAAGGTTCACATCAAACTCAAGAGGATGCTGTGTCTGTGTCACAGAACGTGGGGGGTCAGGGAGTGGCAAAGAACAAGGGAAGTGGTGTGCCTCTTTGCCTCTGGTCTACCAGGTGATCTCAGGAGTATAGGGTTGACTCTAAGAGGAGCTGAAGCCATTACTGGGGGTTTTATGCATTATCTGTCACTACGTAACACCTTGAACAGCTTAAAACCCGTGCATTATCTCAGTTTCCATGGGTCCAGAGTGTGGGGGTGACATAGCTGGGTCCTCTGCTAGGGTCTCATGTGACCTCAGTCAAGGTGTCAGCTGGGGTTCTGTCTCCTCTGGCAGTGTGACTAGAGCAGGATCTGCTTGCTTCCAAGCTCCCTGAAGTTGTTGGTCAAATCTAATTCTTTTTGGTGGTAAAATCCAGGGCAGAACGGAAAAGGCAAAACAGTAACACAGAGGTTCCAATTTCAGGAAGAAGCCACCACCCTTTGGTTGAGCAAAGAGGTTGGGATGATTGTTTGAAGGCTCTAAATTTGTGGTACTTGGTTACTCCACGATAGAGAAGCAAATGACATAGCAACATGGACAGAACGTAAAAGCATAGTTTGGCATGAAAAGATGCACATATAAAGGGATAGATTGATATTTTTTGCATAAACAGGAAACACACAAAGAATGATACATATTTCTTGAAAAACAGATGAGCAGATAACTCACCCGAAGCTTGTTACATAGGGGACCGGGAGTGAGGGGGGTGGGGGTAGAGATCAAAGGGAGCACGTCATAAGCAACAGAGGACCTTTACATGGACAAGTGTGAAAATGCAGCGTGATCTGAGCAGGTGTGGTTCTTCTGCGCCAGAGATTCATGACAGGGAGGGATATATTTTTAACGATTAATTAATGTATTTTTCTCAGGAAGTAGTTAAAGCAAAAGTAAGCAGACATATATTTGATATGCTTAAGCTGTTAGAATGATTTTGGCAACTATTATATGGAATTTTGCCCACCCTAAAAATGTACATTAAAAAGAATACTAATTAGTTCACCTTCAGTTACTCCCCAGCCCAGCCAGACAGCTCGCTGCTCCTCATAGCTGGATAATTACTTTTACCTTATTAACTGTCCTCCTTTCTCCATGCTGACACTATCACGATTTCTCTGCTGTTCGCCTGGGCACAAAAGGGCATCGAGAAGCAATTTTCCTTATAAACTGAGAGTCTTTAAAAATGAGTATGTGTTGGCTGATGATGAGAGGAACTACTCATCAGAAATTCCAGACTTGGAAACCAAGTTCTGTGTCCAGGCTTGATTATCCTCATCTATTCAAGTCATCACGGCTAAATTTGTTTATGCATTTGTTACATTTAATTGGGCTCCTCTCCTTCTCCCACAGTGTTGGGAGAAACCAGATGAAGCCAATGCACCCATGCCAGGAGTCTGAATTTGGTGATGATGACATCCTTCTAGTAGACACTCTGGTTTCTCACTGTGAGCTAGCAGTAGCCTTCCAAGCACCCTTTGTTTTCCAGTGTTGAGTAGAGCATCGTCTTGAGGCCACGACCTCACCACCAGTGGACATGGGAGAAAAACCAGTGAACAACTCATGTCTGTGATCTGCTGTCCACACAGGAGCTGGGAAGCAATGAATATATTTGAACCTTTCTAAATCCCTTTTATGTGCAATTTTCAGGAAATATTGTGGCCCCTTCTCCTCATGAACAATGGTTTGGAAACCCAGCTCTGCTGGAACTCCTGGATCTTCATAGTTGATTAGTTTACCACAGTGACCCATTTACTAAGTCTGGATGCAAATTAGAGTTACCCAGATCCATGTTTGGAAACTGTGGACCTGCAGAAGCAACAGTTACTATCTTTAGTGTTTTGACCTGAGGTAGAAGAGAGAGTATGGGTAGAGAGTGCTAGCTGTAATTGACAAAAAGAACTTCAGTGATTAAAATTATTTTCATTACCAGGAAGCCAGACTTGTCTTTTTTTAATTTTAATTTTAATTTAAAAAAAATTTTTAAGCCAGACTTTTCTGGGAGTTTTTCACATCTGATGTTAGTTCAAGGTGAGAGGAAAAAAGCCCAGATAATACATCGATTTAACACCCCTTTTGATTCATTGTGCAAATACTAGGCATCGTGCTTGGCACACACAGAACAAAAAGTAATGTGAAAAAAACAAAAGT